AGAATTTATTTTATTAATATTGATAGATGGATGAATGATCCCAGAAGCCTAACTTCTCCAGCAGCCCCAGAAACAAATTGGCACTACTATCCTGATTTTATTTCTACTGGGGTCCCTAAGCCCCTTTCTCTGAGGATTCTGCCTGATGTCTTTCCTTTGGGGAGCAAATTCCAGCTCACTCGGGCTTTTCCAGAGATAAAGGGAAAAGAGCCCATATGTTGTTTAGCTGTAAGTGTAGGATTTAACAGGACAGATATCTTTCCAATAGCTTTGAGTCACTGGGTTTGATGGCCATTGTAAATTTCAGAATGCACAAACTTAAATGGGTAAGGAAATGTTTTCATAGAAGTTTACATTTCCATATTGATTTTATTCTTCACTAGTTTCATATTTCACACACTATTTAGAAAGACCATTTTTTCCAATGGCACCAGTTTGCTCTTATAATTATAAAAACAGTGACTCTACGTGTACCTACCATAAACAATGTGATGCTTTGGAACCCAAAGTCCAATATAGCACAAATAAAGAGTTTTATTCCTTATTTGCAGATAGACTGCAGCCAGAGCTTCGCCATCTCTTAGATAGGGGGTGAAAAGTTGGCAGGCACATCAAGCGATTTTTTTCTATTTATTGTTTTATGACAAACCATGGCACTGAAAATGGTTTTTGAAAACCACTGTTTATTTTCACCAACAAACATGGGATCATGTGACAATGATACACCCAGTGTGATCATCACACCAGGGTAACAGTCAAACACTGGGCACTTCCAAAGTCCATTCAGTTATCAAACTGCCTTCATGAAACAGAGCACCTAGTTCTGGCATATGCATGGTTTTCAGAGTGCAGAAAGACCTCTTAAATAAGGGGCCTTGGCTGGAGCAAGCCACTGAAAGGGAAATAGGTTGTGGGGAGAGTCAGTTCCATCCTATTGAGGATGGTTAAAAGGTCTATTGCTCCTAAAATTTCTTGTCCGGCAATCCATAGCTAACAATTCCATATCCCATCTTTTCCCGGCCCTAAGCCTAAAATTCCCAAGCATATTCTTATTTAGGCAAACAATGAAAAGTAGGGCATCCTATACCAAGGACATGATGTTAAAGTTGGTAGAAGGGGAGCAGGGGAATGCAATTTATCCATTTTGAAAGGTGCAAGTGGCCGTAGGGAATAAGATCCAGGAGAAGGAAGTTTAGATGGGGAGGGGAAGGAATCCTGGTCTGCCTGGAGGCAAACGCTGAGCAGCAGCAGGCATTCTACAATAGGCAATGGTGAAATGGAGGAGAATGATACATTTAAAGAATGGCCTCTTCAATCAAGTCATTTCCTTTTCCAAAGGTTCTGGGTAACTGGCAACCCACTATTCTGAGTAGCCTCCCCCAGCCTTGGCCTAACCAACACTAATGACATCAGTCTCAAGCAGGGTGTATAAGAAACGCAAATTGCTCTGCTGCACAGCCATAGCCACTTTTGTATACCTCCCACTCTCTCAAGAGTCCACATTTCTGCAAAACTTTTCCTATCAATGCAAATCTTAACTTTCATGAGTCCTGGCCAAGAGATAACATAACACCCCTGAGAGAGATGCTATCAAATGAATAACATAATCATGTAGATAAAGAACAAACCTCTAGTCTCATTGGAAATCACATTTTGTTTTTTTTTTTCCTTTCCCATATTCCTCTCTGAACTGTTTCTTTCCACTAGTGTTTAATTTGATTTTGCAAGATAAGGAGAAGAGAGGGTGCCAAACAATTGTAGTTTAGTTTTGTGTCATCAGTGAACGGATTATTTTAATTTGGCCCAGTCTCTCTTTTTCCAGATCCTGCCTGCATCCAGATCATCAATAACGTGCAGTTTGGTAAGCAAATATTGGGCTAGTTAGAGGCCCTCTGTTGAAAGTCCAGAATTTCAAAGGGCATAGGCAACCATGTTTAATTCAATTAAGCAAATATAGTCTGAGTAACTATTAGGGGCAAGACACAGTCCTAGTTATTGGAAGAAAATGACAAACGCTTGGCCTCTGAACTTGAAAAGCCCATAACCAAGCATTTTGCAGCCCTTTCCTTTAAATAACTTAATACCTGTTTATTCCATAAAGAACCTCCTTATTTTTTAACTCAAAGATTTAGAGCCAAGGAGTCAACTGGAGTGAGGTATCTTGAGTGTGTCCTCCAGTGACACAGATAAGAGCACGTTGGACACCAGTAGTGTAATTTTAAGTTCTTGACCACCGAGGCTTTTTTTTTTTTTTTTTTTTTTTTCAGTCTTTTGCCTAACTTTCTGGTACTACTAAGTTGACAGGATTTCTAATAAGGATTGTAGGTACGAATTGGAGGATGAAAAGAAGGTGAGAAAGCAGTTGATGAAAACTAACCATGGCTGGTGGCTCACACCTGTAATACCAGCTCTTTGGGAGGCGGAGGTGGGAGGACTGCTTGAGCCCAGAGTTCAAGGCCAGCCTGGCCAATATAACAAGACACTCCTGCCTGGGCAACATAGCAAGACCCCACCTTAAAAAAAAAAAAACAACAAAAAAAACGAACCAAAACTGTAGATAGTTTGCTTTAGGGCTCTTTCCTTTTCAGCAATCCTTTAATTTTTTTCTTCCTGGATATGAATAGTTTATTTTCTGTAGTCCAATCAGCTACGCAGAGGTCTTCATTTGTTTTTGATTTGCTATGGCCAATTTTCTCATTGAACGAATGAGCTTTATGATCACCAGTGTTGTGCAGTCCTGCGCATGTAAAAGCCAGCAGTCCTAGTCAAGGACTTTTGTAATTTGAAAAGAACCAAAACAGCACAAATTTTTTCCAATTGTGAATATATTGGGACAGCAGATGAGGTGAAGAATTCCTACTGTTCTAAAAACTGAGAGAAAACAATCACAGAAAGTTTTCTCAGAGCGAAGCTTTCTCAGTGTGTTATGTCTCCCTGGCTCACTGACAGCAAGTGGGAAAGACTAGCTTCCTAAAGTACTGCGCTGAGGGGCTAGCATGCTACGAATCTTCTGAACTAGAGGCCAGAAAACCTGCATTATAGTCCCAGGTCTTCTACACACTTGCTGTGGGGTCTTAGGGCAAAATGTTTAACCTCTCTGGACTTTATTTTCCTCATCTCTAAAATAAAGAGGATAATAATAGCAGTAGTCAGGTGGCAATGTGACTCGAACCTAATAAATGTGCAAGGTTTTTTTTATACTGTAAAGAATTGAATCCAGGTATATTATTGTTGAGGTATCAGAGACCTATTTGCAAATCGGAAAACTCTGTCCTTATCAGTGTATGGCTCTATGCCGCAAGTTTCCTTTTTCTATTAACTGATTCTCTTACTAAATGGTTTAGCTAAACAGAAGGACTACCATCTTGAGATGGTCATCAAAATACATGAAAAGTTAATGAGATTTTCCCCACAATATATCTGAATAGGGGAAAAGTTACACATATCTATCAAATAATTGCATAGCTCTCTGGGAGGTGTTCACGTGAAAATAAATGAGTGCATACAAGGGCTTTCCATGGTTGGGACAGTGTCTTCTGAGTGTGTTCTGCAGTTCTTACAGCCCTAGGAGCATTGTGCAGACATCAGAATCAAAGCCAAACCCTGTCGTTAAAAACTGAGCTACAAAGCCGGGCGTGGTGGCTGCGCCTGTAATTCCAGCACTTTGGGAGACTGAGGCGGGCAGATCATGAGGTCAGGAGATCAAGACCATCCTGGCCAACACAGTGAAACCCCATCTTTACTAAAACTACAAAAAAATTAGCTGGGCATGGTGGCATGCACCTGTAGTCCCAGCTACTCAGGAGGCTGAGGCAGGAGAATTGCTTGAACCAGGGAGGCGGAGGTTGCAGTGAGCCGAGATGGTGCCACTGCACTCCAGCCTGGCAACAGAGCCAGACTGTCTTAAATAAATAAATAACAACAAAAACAAAAACTGAGGTACAGAGACACGACCCAGGTCATCCAAGCTGATGGCAGAATTGGGACTTGAATTCAGGCACAATTTTATGCTATAATTCCATGTTGTTTTCTCAGTTTCCAGTCAGGGAAGAGCTTTGCTGCTTGGAAAACCTAACTCAGTAACAATTACAACCCATTCTGGGTTTTCTAAACGGTGCTGCTCAATGAGTGAACAGATGTTGGAGAGTCCACTGGAGTGGCCCAGGCAGCTCAGAGCCTTGCAGAAGATAAAATTCCATATGTAATAAAAGGACAGAGCTTCTAGTTGCCCCGGAATAATCAAGAATGCTACAAGGAAGGAAAGGTAACCTAATATCTAGAATCTATTTTATGCCCCATGTTGAACTTCCCTAAGAGGTAACTCTAGACCAGCCTGACCAACATGGTGAAACCCCCCTCTACTAAAAATACAAAAATTAGCCGGGCATGGTAGTGCACACCCGTAATCCTAGCTACTCGGGATGCTGAGGCATCATAATCGCTTGAACCTGGGAGGCAGAGGTTGCGGTGAGCTGAGATTGTGCCACTGCACTCCAGCCTGGGTGACAAACCAAGACAACGTCCCAAAAAAAAAAAAAAAAAAAAAAAAAAAGTAATTCTGGTAGTTCTCCTGAAAGGTGAAATAGTGGGATTCAATACATTTTCTAAATCTAGGTCGGGCTCTTCCCAGAGAAAAGCAAGGCTGCTTGAATGAATATTGCTGTGGCCAGTTATTTTGATGGCGAGAAAAGAGATGGATCCTAAAAGAGGGTGATAGGCTGAGGGGGCTTAAGTTCATTCATTAAAGTTAGGATGACCAATACATTCTAACACTATTCTCAAAGACTTGATGGACTTTTCTCCCTCTTCAAAATAATGTTTACTTATGCTATCTGAAAACACTTCCTGCATTTCAGACTCAGTCTGCAATATGTTAACAGCCAACAGTTGAACAATATTCTGCATGTGCATTCGTAGCGCAGTAAACCATTTACTCAAAGAAACAAAAACCCACAACAACTCCCCGCCTCCCCCAATGAAGACAGCAGAAGAGAACTAACTGATTTGTCTGTTGTCTTTCCTGTCAAGATCGCCCTCGCCTTTGCTTTGGTCAGCGGGAAGGACTTTATGTATGAGTCATACAAATGTTTTGCCAGGGCCCGGAGGTCAGCGGACTCTGGGTTCAGCTGGTCGATATCACTGGAGATCTCCGCCAACAGCTTCTCCTTCTCGGCTTGTGGCATCCGCCCAAACCTGATGGCTATGGAGGAAGAGGAACGACAGGATGAATCATTGGATTACTACTGCTCTGAACATACACTATGCTCTCCCAGCCCTCGTTCCCACACAGTAAAAGCATCTCCTCCTCCACTGCTCTCGAGTTCTGGTTTCTGTCTACCAGTTTGCTCATGTTTTTATAAAAGTAGCACAGACCATCAGTAAAAATTAAACTGTTCACTTTAATTTTTAAAAGTTAATGCCTAATCCTGCTGCGAAAGTGAAAGAATTCAAGAGTTTAGCAAAGGGAGGAAAGTATGTCGACTTAAACATGAAATAATTGAGAACCAACTCCTATTCATCCCTCAAGACCCAATTCAAAGGTCACCTTCTTTGCAGTCCCAGCAGTTGACCTAAGGTCAGGGCACTAGAAGGATCAACACGTTTCACGAATTAAAATACGAAACTGTGCAGAATTCAAAGTTGTACAGACATAGGCTTTGTTCTCAGGGAGTTTGTATGATCTGTTTGTCTCTGTTAAAAAGAAATATGGATGGTGCTTTATCACATCTTACTAGTCTAGAGAGCACTTTTACATGTAGAGGAGAGAAGCCGTAGTTATCTCCCAACTCTCCAGAGTTACCACTTAATGATGTTTGTCAGAAAGACAAACTGGTGGCCTGTAGGGTGAGAAAGTGTGAAAAAAGGTAATGAAAGAAAGAAAAGCAACGAGGAAAATGTAAGAGGGGTTAGTGGGGACTAGTTTGGGGAAAAAATAAACTGTAACTTTTCAACTCAAATATGTTTTCTTTCCTTCTTACCAATATGTTCAGCAAAATAGTATTTTGAATCACGTTCCTTTGGGGGCACACTTTAGGTTCTATGTTTCCCATAATAAGGGTACCTGGCCATCATGTCCACTGCTCCCCATGCATACATAGCTCTGTTCTTACACTCACGACGTGGTATCACAGCCATGTGTTTTTATGGTGATCAGCTTCACTAGACTATATGCTCCTTGAGCGCAGAGACCGTCATATTCGTTTACGTCTCTAGCAAGACTCTGTCTCTGCTGAATCCCAGAACAAAGAGATGGCTCTTTTATTTTATTTTATTATTTTGAGATGGAGTCTTGCTCTGTCACCCAGGCTGGAGTGCAGTGGCACAATCCCAGCTCACTGCAACCTCCACCTCCTCGGTTCAAGCAATTCTCCTGCCTCAGCCTCCCGAGTAGCTGGGATTACAAGGGGTGCGCCACCATGCCTGGCTCAGTTTTATGTTTTTAGTAGAGACAGGGTTTTACCATGTTGTCCGGGCGGGTCTCAAACTCCTGACCTCAAGTGATTTGCCCACCTCAGCCTCCCAAAGTGTTGGGGTTACAGGCGTGAGCCACCGCGCCCAGCCAGAGATGGTTCTTTTATATGTTATTATGCTAAGGGTAGCATTTCTACCATGAGACATGACAGCACATGACAACTTTCCCATCTGAGTACTCCGTGAAAATTTCCTTGGATTTTCCCAAGAAATTGACATGTACCCTTGAGTCTCAAATTCATAAATGCATTTCCATTGACCCTAAATAAATTTTATCACTGACTAATACAACTACTGTTTTGTAGGGGCCTCCTTAGAGACCAGACTTGGGAGTTAGAGGGGAAGAAAATCTTACCTCTCATTTGGGATTCCTTTAAATTGAATTAGCCTGTATTTAGATACTTTTAGTAAATATATCCTTGGTACATGGCCTCTTCATATAGAAACCTTTAAACTGGGAGGTTTTGGTCAAAAATCCTGCTTCCCTACTCACTCTTCCCCATTTTCTTTCTGTGTTGTTCTACGGGGCTGAGGCATGATTGTTCATATTTTTATCTACTGGTGACCCCAGCCCCTGGTGCTAGGCTTGTCTGGGTCCCTCAGGATATGACCTCATCTCATAGCACTGATCACAGGAATTAATCTATAATGTTTTATTTCCTCCCTTGCCATATAATCTCCACAAAGGCAGGAATCTTGTTCATTATTGTATCCTCAGCACTTAGTACAATTTCTCGCACATATTAAGCCCTTGTCTACTGTAATTTGAAATACAATGGAAAGAAACCCCAGATAGCATATTCCTTCAAAATCCTCTGTGAACCTCCTGACCACTTTGCTCAGATAGAATTCCTTATGCAGTTGGCCCTCCATACCTGCAGGTTCCACATCTGCAGATTCAACCAACTGTGGATTGAAAATATTTGGAAAAAAGAACCAATAAAAAATAATATGGGCTGGGTATGGTGGCTCACACCTGTAATCCCAGCACTTTGGGAAAGGATTCGGCTGTAATCCCAGCCGAAGTGAAAGGATTGCCCAAGGCCAGGAATTTGAGAACAGCCTGGCCAACATAGACAGACCCTGTCTCTACAAAAATAAAAATAAAAATAAAAATAATTAGCTGGGCATGGTGGAGTGTGCCTCTAATCCCAGTTACTCAGGAGGCTGAGGTGGGAGGATCCCTTGAGTCCAGGAGTTAGAGGCTGCAGTGAGTCATGATAGAGCTACTACACTTTAGCCTGGGTGACAGCAAGACTCTGTCTCTAAAATAAATAAATAAAACAATGATAAAAAAAAAGACAAATAAAAAAATATGGTATAACAACTTTTTTTTTTTTTTTTTTTTTAAACAGGGTCTCATTCTGTTGCCCAGGCTGGAGTGCAGTGGCACAACCATGGCTTACTGCAGCCTCGACCTCCTGGACTCAATCGATCCTCCCACCTTAGCCTCCTGAGTAGCTAGGACTACAGGTGTGTGCCACCATGCCTGGCTAATTTTTAAATTTTTTGTAGAGACAGGGTTTCACCATGTTGCCCAGGCTGGTCTCGAACTCCTGGGCTCAAGGGATCCTCCTGCTTCCGCCTCCCAAAGAGCTGGGATTATAGGCATGAGCCACAACGCCTGGCCATAAGAATTATTTATACAGCATTTACACTGTATTAGATATTATAAGTCATCTAGAGATGATCTGAAGTATACAGGAGGATATGTGTAGGTTATATGCAAATAATATGCCATTTTATATCAGAGACTTGCACATCTAGGAATTTTGGTATCTGAGTGGATCCTGGAGCAAATTCCAGGGAATAAGGAGGGACGGCTGTACTATGTTCATTTCTTGTTCACCAGTAGTTCCCAATTGAGGAGTGGGGAGGGTAGGGGAGGCAGAGCATATCAGAGTCACATGGTAACTTCTGACATTATATGTTTTCCATGGAACATTTTGATGGGCCATCCATCCACTCAGTTAGGAGTATATAAAAAACCTGGGGTTTGGGACAGTTTATAAAAAGCTTCCTAAATGCTGGGCTCCTGTTGCATGCATACATTAGCTCATGTATTAAACTGTTACTATACTACGATGTTGGTTTATATCAGTTATTCTACTTGAATATAAATTATATGAGTAACAGGTTTTCTCATCTTTGTTCCTAAGTGTAACAAAATACACATAGTAGGTTAACAATAAATGTTTGATGGATATCAAACCAAACCAAAATATCAGGTTTAAAAACATACAGAAAACGAGACACTATGTCCATTAGGAAGTTTGGGAAAATGATCATGAGAAAAGCACTAAGTAAGAAGGCGTATTAAAAGAAGAAGGAATTTTGGTGTAAAACTCAGAGAAAATCAGTTATCCTATAACAAAATAGAGGTGACTAGAATCACCAACTATCTGCTGCTCCTGAACTTTTGTTATTTCACAGAACACACAATACTGTCTCTTTACTCAAGGAATAATTATTGAATGACTACTGTGTGCCAGGCATGGTTCTAAGCTCTGATTCAGTTTTTAAGGGTAAGAGGCTATAAACATATGCAAAAGTTTACACACCTAGAAAAGCTATTTTTTCCTAATGGGTAATCAAAAAAGTTAATTTAAATGAACAAATAGCCAAAGATAGCCACTTACGACATTTGCTAGTCCTGCTTTTCTATCACCTAACAAATATAACCAGAAAGCACCCCTAAAAACCATTTTAGAATTAGGATATATTAAAGTGAGATCCCTCTGCCATAATCTCACAAAAATGTATTTTTATAAGTTGAAGTTCCCCTCAAAGGCTAACCCTAATGAATAAATTATCTGTATTGTTAAGTGCCCATGCTACAAATTAGGTTCCATTTAATTACCAGTGCAACCAATTATATAGGTGATTTTAGCATTTTTATACACCAGAGGTTCATAAAAGGAATGAAAAATAGATTCCATTTGGTGAGACTAAATTCACATAAAACATACAAAAATCTGAAACTGTACAGAAAATAAGGATTTTTATTTACATATTTTTTTTTTTTTATCTTTCAGCTGAGGCACGCATACCTTTTTTAAGGGGGAAAAAGCCAGTGTTATTAGTATATATAGTCAGCAACGAAAAAGCCAGTTTCGTTGCTTCTGAGTCTCACATAATAGTACCTATCTACCTCATGTGAGGTGATGAGAGGAAGTGCTTAGCACAGTTTTGGGCACATGGCAATGCTTAATAAACACTGCTTTTATTGCTGTGGTCTTGGTAACTATGGCTGCTGTGGGTTCTAGACCAGGTTGGTAGTCATGGCACGCTGACCTCTCCCACAGAGAAAGAACAGAATCTGAAAATCTAAACTATGTGTCTGTCTGCCTGTCTATCTCTATTTCTATCTTTCCATCTTTAAATTGTTTGGGAGATGGTGTTTTTTAGTTAAGTAATTCTTGAGCCTCAGGTTCTACCTTTTACCTACCAAGAGAAGGAAAGTGATGGAGGTTGGGAGGTGTTTCCTGTAAGACTGAAGTGAGAGCTTAGAAATAGAAGATGAACAGGCCGGGCGCGGTGGCTCATGCCTGTAATCCCTGCACTTTGGGAGGCCGAGGCGGGCGGATCACGAGGTCAGGAGATGGAGACCATCCTGGCTAACACGGTTCTACTAAAATACAAAAAATTAGCCGGGCGTGGTGGCGGGCGCCTGTAGTCCCAGCCACTCGGGAGGCTGAGGCAGGAGAATGGCGCGAACCCGGGAGGCGG